TATATTTCAAACCTGAAATCATCTACTTTAGGATCAACTTACTCACGGAATAAAAGATATAAAATAGAAAAAAAATAACACTAAAATGATTTTACTGGAAAATGTTGAAATTATAGTTACTCATTCTCTCTGTAAACATAACATTAATCTGAAAGGTAAACATTGCTCAGAGACTGAAGTTATTTGGTTTACGGAAAGAGATGGAGTACATTTTTTATTGTCTAGACTTTTTGTTATTTTAATAGTTTGTTATCTCTAAGCTTTAAGCTTTAGCTCCGTTTAAAATGCACAAAAAAATTTTTATAACAACCCAACATTGCCAGAAAATAATTCCTATTTAAAGTAGAGCGTTAAGTGAAATTTGTGTGATGTAGATGTACCATATTTTTTACATTTTACAAGTTTACTATCATGGTGTAAATAAGGGGAATTTTGTTGTTATCCTGTCATGATGTAAACGAGACGCAGATTTTTTTTTTTTTTTTTTTTAATTATCTCTGTTGTATCTTGATGATTTCAACTTTCTGAAGTCCTCGATCTGTCCAGTTAAATAAAAAGGGAGGAAGATTTTTAAAAGTTTTTAGAACAATTTTCGAGAAGATATACTTAAAAATGTTCAATGATGTAGAGATGGTTGACCGTTGATATCGAGGGGTGCGGTCAAATCAATACTAAATTAAATAAGTATTTAATTTTTGCCGACGTTTCGACCCACATTGTAGGTCTTCATAAGGGCTACAAAAGATACAAAACATCGTGAAAATAAATGAATATAAGTAGATATAAAGTAAGAATAATTTGTCTTATACAGAACTAAAAGATGATATCAGAGATATAGTGGGTGATAAAGTAATTAAAATATCAAGTATTATATATAGAAGATACAAATAGAAAATAAAGGAGAATATAGCATGTAAGTTAAAGGTAAACGGATTGCGATAAAAGATAAGGAATGAGCGTATAACAAACTAATAAAGATCACATTTGATAAATGTAGGTTGACATATAAAGAAAATGAATGTTAACGAATAAATAGATTGTAAATTGAATAAGTATTGATAAAGTAAAGCTAAAATAAGAATAAGATAACATAATAATAAGATGTCAGTGAATAACAAGCTAGTGGAGGTTACATTTGATAACTGTAAGTAAATAGATAACGGGACTAAGGGTTAAGAAGTAAAAAAAAATTAAAGATTAAAAGGATAACATTAGTGTGATATCGTTAGAATAAATATAATATAATATAAATAACTCTATAAGAAGACAATAATTATAAGAAGAGAAATTTAGAATGTAAGTATAAGTGTAAAATTAAAATATTAATTTAATTATCAAATTATATTAATTTGGCAAAAATTAAATAATTCTACTTATTTAATTTAGTATTAATTTGACCGCACCCCCCTATCAACTCCTTCTCTTATTAAAAATGTTTAATTGATAAACTGTTGTTAGAATAGCAGTTATTAAAAAGACCAACTATTGATCACGACACTGATGAAGCCAAAATGAATCTAGAAAAAAGATTTTTATTCAAGATTCAAGAAGATTTGATTCAAGAAAATATCAATCAGCATTATATAATAGCTTACAGGCAACGATTGTCGCTTACTCGTTTTTCCTTACTCGTCCCACTGTGCGTCGGTGCTATATGCCCATTACATTTAATACATAATAAATACTTAATATATTTATGTAACATATTTTTGTCATGATTCACTGAATATCCATGTTCAGATATGTGAATTTTTGTATGCCTCGCCTTTTAGGCTATGCGTTGTTTTTATAGGACCAGGGGAGGAAATGGGGGATCATTGCCAAAGTTAAAAAACCCGCGTCACCAGGCCGCGAATTATTAATTATTTTATCATCTAATCTTCGATTTATCACGTTGCCGAGCAACACATGGTCTATTTATTGGCTGAATCGGAATAAACTGCCGATAGATACCTTATTATTTAAATATAATATAAGATCTAGAGTTATTAAACTACATTCAATGTATTTAAGGTTATAAGCATATCCATGAAATATTTTTATATTTCTCTTCTTCTTTCACACAAGTACAATGAAATATTTTTTTAAACAATGTCAATGCCTTTATTATGTGGATTTTAAATACTTTTTCATGGTTAGATATATTTTAAATGTTTACATTTAATTTCCTTGAAAACATATGATTTACGTTAAATATTATCAGTTTTCAAAAATTATTATTTTTAATTTTTTCTTCACTCTGCATTAACTTTCTATATTAGATGTTGTTTTTTCTAAACGTCTGCGCTTTCCAACGATATATTATACGTATACCTTATATATATATATATAAGTTTCAGTTGGGGTCTTTCAGCGTAGCCTATCAGATCCAATTCGGCAAGTATGGTTTTATTATATGCTGAAATATACCAAAAGCGTAGTTTTTGGCCAGAGATATGGTTTTTGTTTTACGTTCATAATTGTTATTCCTAAAGTTATTATTTAGAATAAAGTTCAATTTCTATCTACCTATCTATCTATCCACATATATAATCTTGTTAAGTGGTAACTGTAGATAAACTATAGACTGCTTTTGTTTCTAAAAAACAAGATCTTTATTAATTACAATTTCAAATTAAATAATACATTAAATCTTAAAACTCTACCTACCTACAAAACAAAATCAGTTTTTATAGTTTTTAAATACAATGAAACACGACACTAAACCAGTGTTACCGCGCTCTCTGTGACAAAACCTCGTACTGAAGCCTCGTACATCGTACGCTTGTTCATTCATAACTTGTACTATTATAAGCCCAGTGTTATTGTTTTTTTTTATAGTAAAATTAGATCAGAAATTTTTATTTTTACCTCCATTCATATATTTTAAAGCCTTTTTACATTACTTTTTTTTTTTAAGTTAATGGGCCAAGAAGTAAAATTAGCTTAATAAAATATATAAAAAAGTTTATATATTTTTATAAACTACTGAACACGTTATATAAGAATTAAAATAGCTAAATACACTTCTTAAAGTACTCTTCATAAGTAGATCCAAGATTTAGTTAGGGGGAAGGACTAATTTTTTTTCTTTTTTCTAAAAACAAAACAACTACTTTTATGAAAGGATGTTAGTGGTTCTGGAAGGCCAACAAAAATTAATTATTGGGGCATTGATGATTTTAGAGATATCCATTATAATATAAAAAAATAATAGATTGTGATTGTTTCAGTATTTAGCTTACAATTATATATCGCACAAAATAAATGTGGACCACTTAAAAAATTTTTTTTTTCATTATTTAAGATGGGTTCATTATGAATACGAGTTAATTTTTCAATTAATTACTTTACTCGATTAAATATCGAAAATAATTTTTTAAATTACGGTAATAATTAAAAAAAAAATTACAGTTTTATGAAGGAAATAATAATTACGAAGGAAATAATGGATATACTTTCTCGTATTTTATTTTATGTTCGATAAAAATGACGGTAAAAATTTCTGTTTAATTTTCTTTTACAACACTTTTTAAAAAATACATATTTATAAAAAAAGTTTTATTAAGGAAATAATGGATATGGTTTCTTATATTTTATTTTATACTGAATAAAATCTAAATTTTTTTTTAAATTTTATTTTCTAGAAAATTAAAAAAAAAAACATATATATACAATCATGGTTTTATGAAGGAAATAATAATCATACTCTAATTAAAGAAGATATAATTGCAATTTATTTGTCTATAAAGCAACAGAAGTTCAGTCTTTCATATCAACATAAATAATAATACAGACAAAGTAACCGTAAAACAATTCTAAACTTCATTCATAAAAATATAACCTTGCATTGCAAACGTCAGCAAAAGTTATGTACGAGGTACGAGGCTGGTCTATCCTCGTACCTCGTACATTACGTCATAACCTCGTACAAATACGAGGATCCTCGTACAAACGGCAACACTGCACTAAACACTTAATAATCTGAAACAATTGCAAACCGCACTACATGGTTATCTATCCCCACCCAACATCATGTGTTAAATACATGAATTAAATAATTTATCCAAAGGTGGGGATTCGTTAGAACCTGAAGCTTCTTTACATCTCCCCTTCCAGCAGAATGTTAAATTACAGAATTAACCTTGAAATTCTCTCCTGCGTATGGTAGAAGTTTGTTGCTGTTGTATACATTTGCATCAGAAGCCTTTCTTTCGGAATCTACTTCGTATATTGTTTTAGAAATTTTTCGAATTATTCTAAAAGGTCCTTTTCGTATTTCTTCTAGTTTATTCCTGTTTAACTTATTGCCTGCTTCTATGTACACTAAATCATTTTTTTTTCTAAATGTATAATTTTAAACTCCGAAAATCTTATGTACATATCCATTTGTGGTTTTCATAAATGCTATCATTGCTATTATTTAATATTAAATTGTATAGATTACATAGATATAAGAATTAAAATTTGTATATGCATATATATAGATAATTAAACATATACGAATACCCACAATGAAATGTAAATAAATATAGCTTCTATAAATTTTACTTTCACTTTGTCTGAAAATACTTATTTCTAAGTACCCTGCTATGAAGAGGGTAATAAGTCAATAAATGCGCGCAGATATTTTTTTTTGGTTTTGTTTTAAATTTAGAAATTATTGTGGGTATAATAATAATATTATAATAAAAATATAATATAATACTTTTTGAGTTATGAGTAAATAAAATTTCCTTATCTTACATTTTCCGCATGAATTTTTTGGGAGATGTGCTTATTTTCATATTTCAAGAAATTCATAATATTCAAAAATGACGGTTCAATTATTGTATTTGATTAAGGATTAACGAAGATATGGTGTAACGACAAAAAATAAAAATAAGAAATAACATATGAAAATATATTGTACCTCGTGGCTACATATTTTATTTGTTATGGTGAATAATTAAAGTCAATATTTTTATATGCATTTGCTTAATAAATTGAGGTTAATGAACCGTAAATTAATAAGACTAGATATGCCAATAAAAATGTATTGTTCGTGACCACGTCCCACAAACTCGTTCACTTAAAAAACATATCTCGATGCCATTGCTTGTATGAAGTAAGAAAGACGACAATTTCTAGGCGGTGAGTTATTTTTATCGAATTTAAAAAAAAAAATCTTTACCACATAGACTTTTTCTTCCAATTATAATTTAAAAATAATAAGTGGTTTAACTTGTTATGTATTTATACATTTTTAAAATAGGCTTACCTTTCAAGAGGTCAGCATATTGCCAATTTTTAAGAATTAAGATTTCACTAGAGTAATGAAAATAATAAGTTATTGGATTCGGTGATGGTTACGTTATTTATACTGACATATCTTCACATTATTTTCACACATATGTCAAGGAAAAACATATTTACTAATTTTTTTTTCTATAAACAATGTATTTGCGCCTGTCAACTTATTAAAGGAAAGTACTCAGCAGTACCTCTCCCCTAACTTGTTCCAGTTACTTACGTTGTTTAAGGAAGGAGATCTCTTATCCAACGCCTTTTTAGTCTCCTCCTCATGTACTGAGGTATGTCAACTGTGGCCATGTCTGTTATTATGTCCGTTTAAATTTGTGTAAAATCGTTGATAAAGGGTCTTTATATGTTGGTCAACTGCTGGAAGCTGGAGGTCAGTATGTAGAGTTTTGTTAGTCACGTAGCAAGGAGCTTATGTTATGAGTCGCAATAATTTTGATCGGGTTTAAAGTTTTTGTCGGGGGGTCTTTTTATATTTGTGATGAGTACGTCCATATGGGTTTAAGTAAGTATATATATGTATTCAGTTTCTGATTTAGTTTTAGTTTTGAAGATTTGGCAAAAAGAGAGTAAAGTAGTTTGAGTCGTTTGTTAAGTGTCATACGTTTCATTATTTTTTAAAAATCATTGATTGAAAATTACAACTGTGTTAACTAAAATATTCAATATATGATAGTTTATATCTGGGAGACCGAAAAAATGCTGGATACCTGTAAGAAATCTGTCATCATTCCCTTACTCAAGAAGAAAGGTGCTTCCACAGATTGTAACAATTATCGTGGAATTGGGCTCCTGAATACTGCTTACAAAATATTTTCTGTTGTTTTATATAATCGAATTGTGGATTTTGTGAAACCTCGGTTGGGCGATTACCAGAGGGGGGGAGGGAGGAGGTTTAGATGGAATAGATCAACTATTGACCAGATATTCTGTTTGACACAAATACCTCCCGACTTAAAATATTTAAAAATAGATAGATTTTGAATTATTGTTGAGGCTGTATGGATAAATTATAAGATATGCAGGTTTGAAATTAGCCATTTACAATAAGCAAATTTGTGCAGAATACGTAATAACTAAGAAAATCTCTGGCCAGCCACCCCAGAAGTCGTCGAGGTGGGATGTATGGGTTCGTTTTGGAAATAAGTGCTTGAGCCAATAGGTTTGTGTTGTAAGTCAGTTTCCAGTGGTTGTTTTTACAGTGTTGTGTTACAGTCTCTGAAACCGTTTAGATGACCAAATCTGAATGTAGCAAGTCGTAGGCAACATAAAAAATAATAATAAAAATAAAATAAATGAGGCCTCTAGATAAAAGGGATATTAGTGACAAAAACTAAGTTTTGAGTAAACCGTTGTTAAACTCAAACCTCCACTGTGATTCAAATTGGTTTTGTACACTGAAAGTTAAAGGTTGAAACGGAAAGTTAAAACGTTCGAAAATGTTTCATATTATTTTTAGTTTGATGATTTGTATAACCAACAAATACATTCACTATGGTGAAAAATAATCACTAGCTTATTGGATTTCTTCAGTACTCAAATATTTTCCATATCGTCAGATTCGTGGAAATCATTCAAAATTTTACTAAATCAGTTATATAGCTAGCATGTGGTTTGAAACTATTACAACCAGTCTTTTGTCTTCTACTGATTATATAATGTTTGGGAGTTTTCCCTTTTTGAAATTCGCCAGAAGCCAAACACTCTCTATTAGCAGTTCTCTATGATTTAATAAGTTTCGAAACATGGGATGTCATGCCTCTTGTTAAAAATCAAACTTTTGACAATCAACAGCTTAATTTTTTGGTTGATTACGTGTTTGTGACTTCAGTGTGCAACACGAGACTGCTGACGCTTAGAATACTTTTATCTAACGGTCTCAACAGCTGTTCTCAGCTGATCTCAACAGCTGATTGAAACTCTGAAATAAATATGGACGCTTTCTCATGGTGCTTCTCAAGTGAAATATAGACATAAATAAATATATGAATTTCAAACAAAAATAGTTTATTCATTAGTGCTTCGTAAATATACATTTACTGGCTAATATACGCAACATGCCTACTAATCAATAACATGATAATTACAAAATAACTTAACAAATCTATAACTATTTTTTATTAAATGAGAAAATAATTTATTTGTGCACATTATAGAATTAATTGTTACAATAATTATTATAAATTAAATAACACCAAATTTTAACTATAAAACCTTGTACCAAACATAATGAACTTACATATTAACACTAGAGAAAAATAATTGTATTGTATATATAACCTAAGACATTGCTCTGCGGTACTCCATGTTTAATGAACTTAATATCAGAAAGTTTTGCCTATATTTACTGAAAAATGTTTAATTAGATAATATGTATTGGGTATGTATATATGTGTAGCTTATATATAAATATTAGGGTTAATATTTTTTATGTTTTTATTCATTCATGATATTTACTACTGTATTAAAAAAAATACATCAAGTAAATGTGCACTCAGGAATATAATAACATGAAACCTCTTATTGAGAAACTACCCATTGGTAGCACTCAAATAATAAATTTAAACAAGAAGATCACGAGGCCATCTTCTTTACAGATAAGGGATCTGCCGTGTTATCAGGGATCGAGGAGGAAGCAAGGTTTGAAACAAGAGGGTTCGGATGGTTCTGAAGTTTATTATGGAAGGATAGGTATCTGGATTGGGCCAAATCGGAAACATAGAATATTAAGATCGTTATGGATGATTTTATTTGTGACATAGTAAGAAGCGTTGAGGATTTTACGAAGAACTTTGGATTGTAAGGATTAGAAACGAGAGGAATTCGATGGTTTAGTGTAGGAACAAAGCTCTATTCCGTAAGTCCAAATAGGTCTTATTATTGGCATAAATATGAGTCTTTTGTAATTGATTAGAATGTCACAGCGTTTGCCTAGTAAGTGCTGCAGTAGTCGAAAACATCGAGTGGTTTCTTGTCGTTTCAGTCTTGTATGATGATTCCAGGTGGAGTCCTTGGTAACGGGTTTATGTGACTGGGATAAGTGGGGAATTGTTAAAGGATACTGTAGGACAGGAAATCATAGGTTCGCGACGCAGGGTAAAGGTAATTTGATGGAATTTATTATTTTAATATTTAAATTAATCGTTGCAATGTTCTAGAAATTGAAAACGGGCCAGATTGGTACCATTACGTTGCATATTTAAAGAAATATGAAGTATGAAGGATGAGGGTCTTTATCTTTAATATTTTACAATACACTTCAAATTTTTTTAAAACATCAATTAGTAAGTATTAATAACGTGATTGAATTTATAACAGTGAGAAGTGTCTCTGAAGATGGGCAAAAAGTTCGAAACATTAGACAGATAAATAAAGAGAATTTTTTTCATACATTATACCTAAATAACATTAAACTCTTTCTTAAGTAATTTATTGTACATAAAGTAATATAAGAAAATTGTTTAAATATGGACTTGGAAGGACATGTGTGAAGAATGAGAGTGGAATTTAGGGGCAATCTAAGTGGAACGTTAGAACAATATAAATTAGTAAGTATTAATAACGTGAATGATTTTATAACAGCAAGAAGTGTCTTTGAAGTTGGGGAAAAAGATTGAAAAAAAAAAAACATTGGACAGATAAATAAATAAACAAATATGGAAGAGAAACATTTTCATACATTACTTTCTTTTGCTTCCTCATTATCTAAGGTAGGGAAGCATTGCATATGTGTGAAATGTTCAAAAAAAAATTTTGGCTCAAAATCGAAAATTTCCACTCGCCTTTTACGTTTCAAACGTATTTCAAATTTGGTTCGGTGTGATCAAATTTGGTTTGGTGTCTGTCTGTCTGTAGTCAAATTGATGTAACGGGCATATATCATCTGCTACCGTTTATCCGATTTTCTTGAGATTTTTAGGAATTGTGCTGGTTATTGTCTAGATGGTCCCAAAGCAATTTCATTAAATTATAACCAGAACTTTCGCTTACGCACGCGATAACGCATTTTTGTAGATATGCCAATATTTCAGAAACTGCTCCTTCGATTTCACTAAAAGATAAAAGGTAGGTATTTGTAAAAATGTAATGTAGGGTCAATTTGATTGAATTCTGTCCATTGCTTTCTCATATATATGTATATATATATATATATATATATATATATATATATATATATATATATATATATATTTATATATGCGCATACGTGTTTTCCTTGATACGCCCATATCTCTAAAACCGCTAGTTCGATTTCGCTCAAACTTGGAGAGAATTTAGGTATTGGTTAACGTAAAATGAAATAGGCATACATTTTCAGTATATTTAAAGTAATTTTCACTCTGAATTTGTAAAAAAAAATTCTTATTTGTGATTGTGTTTATTTCCATTGAAGTTCAACCAGCTCGTCTTGGTCACAATTATCTCCTTAAATATCAAAATTCTGTCAACTTCACTCATATTTTTATATTCCACCTTAATTAGTTTTGTTCTGACTGAAGAAAGAATTAGTCTCGTTAACTCCGAACAAACAAAAAGTTGAATTGTTCCTAGGGATTTTTTGTTCCATCCATTTTACGAGTGAAAACATACCTATTAACTATAAATATTACTGAAGAGAATAATAGTTGGGGTGCTCAGTCAAAAAGGAAGGCAAAAAATAAATTATAATATTTATTTTTTACATATGCCGACGTTTCGACCTGAAGTTCAGGCCTTCATCAGGGCTAAGAAAATTACCAGATAACAAGGTATGAGAAACATAAGTAATGATGGTAAAAAAGATAATAAAAAATGAGAAATTAAAAAAAAAATATTAGAAAAATAAAATAGAT